GCCTCCGGGGAAAGGGCTTCACAGACCTGGGGAGCCTGTTGTAACCCTGGGGCTGGAGGGAGGTTGGCTGCAGACCACAGGGTTCCCTGGGACAGAGCCCTCCGCAGAGCCCAGGGCACAGGCAGGTGGAGAACAGGGCGGGTCCTGGGTCCTTTTCCCTGCAGAGTTGACTGATGTCGGAGGCTGTCTCCATCACCCACTCAGCTGTGGCCGCCGCCAGAGGCCAGTCCCAGGAGACCCTGCCACAGCTTCCCACTAGGAAGGGGTCCGGGCCCCCATGCCGGTGTGGACCAAGTCCTGAAGTCAATGTGAAGGGGCCCCAGGTGCACGAGTCTCCCCCACAGTCTCGGCTGGCCGTAGGTGGGGTTCTCGGCGCCCCCGCCCCAAGCCAGGCCCAGCTGCATAGCCAGTTCCTGGCAGGTCATGAGCCCCTGGGGCCCTGGCAGCCATTTCTAGGCCAGCGGAGTGTTCTCACCCAGCGGCCCAATTAGTGGCCTGATTTCAGAAAAACGCCCCTGAACTCCTAGGAGGCTGTGAGGTGGCGGTCCCTCCGTTGGGGGACAGCTGCCATTCCTGACAGAAATCACTGAAGCCGGGTCACGCTGTTGGCCGGGGGACGCAGACTGTACACCCTGAGGCTGACTCCAGCTCCAGGGGGGCCTGGATGTGTTTGAGGGCTTCAAGCACAGCCTAGGTAGGAAGAGATATGTCGGAGTCTGAGACTCCAGTCTTACTGGGGATGGGGTCTCACAGCCCCTCACACAGGAGCAGAGGCTACTGCACCCGCCTGGGTCAGCACAAGACCTGCTTCTGACCCTGGTGGTCCACAGGACATGGAGTGTGACTTGTGTCCCCCCCAGCGACCAGAAGTGGGGTGAGAGACGGGACCCGACACGGGCCTGGAGCAGACTCAAGGCCCTGCCCCCACTTCCCTCAACCTCCTCCTGCCCTCGGCCTTGGAGGTCACCCAGACCCTGCTCAGGTAGGCAGGCCAGGCCCTCCATGTAGGCACACCCCGCCTCTTCTTTCCTGAGACGCTGAGGTCTGGCAGGACCTGCCTGGACCCCGGGGCAGTCTCATTCCAGGACATGGCCCCAAGGCCCATCTTGGCCATCCTGGTGGCCCACACCACACTCCAACTCGTGTCCTGACCTGCTGGCGACACTGGCAGTGCTGGATAGAGCTCAGGCACCCTCAGTGACTTGGGTCCAGTGAATTGCCCAAAAACCAGAACCCAGAGCCTTGGCAACCCTGTTAAGAGATGCCCTAGCTCCTTCCAGACGAGCAGATGCAAAGGCCTCTTGGGGTCCCAAGAGCGGCCGCAGAGCCCCTGGTTTTCACAACTCAGCCACAGATCTCAGCGTGTCCCCACCCTGGCCCTGGCTCCAGGCCACCTGCTGTCCCAGCGAACTCGGAGGACATGTCCTGGGGTTCAAAGAGTCCTGCTGTCACTGTGAACATGGGGACACATCTTGGGGTCCCCTCCCCCTTGCCCGCATCCTGGGGTGGTACACACCCCTCCCCCAATAGCCATTCCACTCTGGCACCCAGGCAGAGTGCCCCCAGCAGCCCAGATACCAAGGCGCATCCTGAATCACAGCACCCAGGGGCCCAGCTGGGCAGGGCAGGCACCAGGGCAGCCTCATCCAGCCCCCACCGTGCCCGGAGGGGCAGCCATCTGTCTGAGGAGGCGGCCTGGCACCCTGGGCTTTAAGCTCCCCCACCACACCCCCAAATCCATAATAAAAATAATCCCTTCCCTGATGTGCCCCAGTTCCAGAAGCATCTCTGAACCAGCCGACCCACATCAGGGTGGGAGGTGCAGGTGGCCCCGATTCTTGGAGTCACAGAGAGCGGGAGGCCTGCTGAGTGGCCTCAGGGGCCTGGGAGCCCGAGGGGGACATGGCCCACCTCCCCCCGACCACCCCTGCAGGGTTCTGGGCCACCTGAGGCAGGCCAGGCAGTTCCCTGTGACCTCTCACAGGCCCCTGGCCTTGGGAGCACCCATGAAGGGCCTGGCCCAGTCCTCCCTGGGACGTGGTGGCCCAGCCTCTGCAGGACTGAGTTTGGGGAGCTTGGCCCTGTACCCTCGGAGGCAGCTGCTGCGGGCCAGGGACCCCCACCCAGGACGAAGCCTGGTGTGTACCGGGTGCAGCTCCCACAGGAGTCCAAGGGGTGCACCAGGGGCGGGTGGAGGACACGCAGAGAAACTTGGAGGAAAAACAGGGGCAGGTCTCAGCTCCGCAGGCTGACATGTGCCAAGCCCCCAAGGGAAGCCCCTCCCAGAGCCTCAAGGCCGCCCGGCCCCAGCCTGAGTGGCACAGCCAACACACCTCTCCCGAGACAGTGACCCCCATAGCACCCACGACAGGCCTGGTGTCAGGGATGCCTCAGGATGCCACCCTCAGCTCAGGGCATACCAGTGTGGCACCCTACTGCCCTCAGGAGCTGCCCACTGTGCCCACCACTGGCCTGGAAATGGGGAGCTGGGACAGAACAGGGAGCTCTCTGGAGGCCCAGGGTCCTCAGCAGGAAGAGGCTGACATCCCAGGGTGAGCCACAAGGCCCATACAGGATGCCCTGTGGGGGACATGGCTGAGGGTCACCCAAATCCCGCAGGCTGCAGGTCCTGGCCCCATCCCCACTCCCCCTGGTTGGCCCAGGACACTGGAGGGGGAAGGCCCTGACCAGAGAGTGCTAAAGGCCCCGAGTATGCAGCCCAGGAACCCACCCCCCCCCGGTTGGAGACTGCTCCGCCGGTGCCCAAGCTGGCCCCTCGGGGAAACTGGAGCAGCCCCACACTGGCCCCTTGCTGCATGTCTATGCGCTGGGTGAGCCCCAGGGAGGCGGCAGCACAAGCTTTCTGGGGTCAGCTCAGCCCTGAGGAGAGGGTGGGGCGGCGCCAGGGCCCAGGTGGCGGGAGGGGCGGGGCCCAGCGGGGCTCTGCCAAGCGGACTCCCGGCACAGCACTTGGCCCTCGCTGTCACTCGCGGTCGCCTGGCCGTTGTCATCACTGTCCCTACGCTGTCACCTTTCAAGGTAGGGCCACCAAACAGGCCCCTGGGGCTGGGGAGGGCCCGTGGCTTTTGGCTTGCCCAACTCGTCCCCTGGGTTCACCCTAACTCCCGGGTGGTGCTGCAAGTGGGGCGGCGGCTTATGAGATTCGGGGGAGCCGCGGTCCGTGTGAGCGCCGTGCGCCCCCGCAGTGTCTGCCAAGTGCCGTGGCTGGGGGCGTCCACGGGGTGTGCGCGGCAGGTGGCTGGGCTTGGGGGCAGGGGCTGCTGGCAGGCAGGGCTGGGCAAGGACCCCCTGGCAGCCGGACCCACACCCACGTGGCTGTGTGGGGGTCTCTGAGGAAAGGCCCGCACAGAGGGAGGGAATCCTCTGCATGACCCTAATGGTTCCCCCAGAAACCTGCCCCCACCCACTCCCTGGGCTCCCACCCAGCTGCTGACAGTCTGTCCAATTAACCAACCAGGATCCCACCAGCGCCAGGCCTTGGGCCCCTCCATAGGTGGGTGGCACAGCTGTGAGACCAAAGGGATGGGGAGCCTGTTGGGCCAGGAGACCCCTTGACAGCCAGAGGAAGGCTCCCCCAAACTCAGCGCCAGCCGCCTACCCACCTTCCCAAGGTCGAGGAAGCCAGCCCCGTCTCCTAACCTCAGGGATTGGGGCCAGGGTTGGGGCAGAGTGAGACTCCCTGAGCCCTGGGAGTGGGTAGGGGGTGGGAGAGGCAGGGGGCTTCCCACCCTTCCCTCGCCTTGAACTTCCAACAGTTCTGAGAGGTGTCAACCTGTGGCTTTCCCACGCTGGCCACAAGCAGAATGCCTGCAGGTGATCTGTGTGTGGTTACCAAGCACACTGGGGACCCAGGGGCCACCCACAGCCCACATCCCAGACTCAGGCCATGTAGCCTGAGCCCCCAAGGTCCTGAGCACACACCCCATCCCAGCCCACCCCACTACACCTGCCAAAAATGCGATCTGCAGCAAAGCCTCCCTGCCCAGGAGGCACCGGCTCTGAGCTGGGCTCTGCCCATGCAAAACGGGGTGGGGGGGGAGGGCACACAGTGGACCTGGCCCACCCCCACACCATGGTCTGGGTCAGCCTGCAAGGGCCTCAGTGGGAGAGTGGGAGCTGGGAACCTGCCATGCTGGGCACCCATTCTGTTGTCTTCAAAGGACCTTCGTCAGGTGTGGGGGATGGGGTGTAGCTGAGGATGGAAAGTTTCTCCTGCAGTTAATTAACCCCGCTGGGGGAGGGGGGGCTGGGGCCTCGTGGGAACACGCCCTGTGCCCTGCACCCTAGCAACACCTGTGGACCTGGGGAAGGACAGGGGTGGAGAGAGCAGAACTCAGGGAACTTGCCCAGGCAGTGGCAGGGACTCTCCCCACTTCGTCCTGGGGGACTCAGCTCAGGCCTGCGGGGAGGAAGCAGCTGGGGAGGTGAGGACCGCAGGCTGGCGGCCTTGGTTCTGAGGCTTCCTCCTGTGCTCTCCAGCCCCAGGCTGGCTGATTCCGAAGCCCCCGACGCCATGGAGGAGTGGGACGTGCCGCAGATGAAAAAGGAGGTGGAGAGCCTCAAGTATCAGCTGTCCTACCAGCGAGAGACGGCCTCCAAGACCATCCCCGAGTGAGTGCCCCACCCGCCTGATTTGCCTCTCGTTTGTCTGCCCCGCGCTGGCCGCTCATTTCCATAGCCAAGACCAGCGCCGACCGGCAGGTGCAGCACGAGGCCCTCGGGGCTAGGTGCTACCCCTCACCTACCGCCCGCCCACCTGCCCACCCACAGGCTGCTGAAGTGGATTGAGGATGGGATCCCCAAAGACCCCTTCCTGAACCCCGACCTGATGAAAAACAACCCGTGGGTGGAGAAGGGCAAGTGCACCATCCTGTGAGCGGCGCCGCCACTCACCCTGCCCCGCCCACTCCCACCGCCCCGCGAACCCTGCCCCGCCCACTCCCACCGCCCCGCGAGCCCACGCCACTCGCGCGTGACTGCAATCTGTAAAGGTGTGACTTTATAAAGAGCTTCCGGGTTCCGTCCCCCGCACGGCCTGCGGGAAGCGATGCGGGGCGTCCCTCGGGTCCGAGGACTAGAGCAAGTCTCTGATGTACAGGCTGCGCCGCACCGCGTTGGACACGCCCTCGTTGAAGCGGAACCAGACCTGGCTCCTGCCCACCGCCGTGCCCATGCGCCGCTCCACTGAGTCCTGCTCCGGGGCCGTGTCCCCTGTGGGGCCACAGCGTTGCTCCTCAGCTGGACCCCGGCACCCCAGGTCCCCCACAACCTTGCAAATCCCACACACACCTGCACTCGGCGCTGCCACGCTCCTGACCACCACACGTCCGAAGAAATCCCTCTCAGGCTGACCGGGAAGAGGGTTTGGTCAGCCCTGTAGGGCAGACACCCTATGTGGCCCCTGCGCACGATGGGAGGACCGAGGGCCTTTCCAGGGAGGAGGGGCCGGAGCGCCTCTGAGACACCTTTCCCAACCTGGCCCAGGCCAGCACCCCCCACCCCTCACTGCCATCTCCTCAGACAGGGACCAAGCAGAAAGCCAATAGGGTCACTCTTCTGCCCGGGCAGGAGACAGGCGCGGTGGAACCCTGGTGGTGCTGACAGTGGGGAGCTGGACCTTCAGAGTCCGGCTTAGGGCACTGAGCCAGCCCCACCCCAAGCCAGACTCCATCTGTGGTTCAGCCCCAGCCCCCCGCGCCCCCCACAGTGGATTTGGCCCCACCCCCAAAGGAACCCTGGCCCCCGCCCTACGACTGCCCCAGCCCCAGCCGAAAGGGACCCTGGCCCCGCCCCATGGCTGCCCCAGCCCCACCCCCCAAAGGTACCCGGGCCCCGCCCCTGCTGCTGCCCCGTCCCGCACCTGCTCCTCTGGGGCCGCGCGTCTCATGATGTGCTCCAGCCGCTGCTCGTGGTTTCGTGGGGCAGGTCGCCGCACCCCTTTCTCCCCACTGCCCCCCAGCAGACCCTCGAGCCCTGGCGGGCTCCCATCCACCTGCAGGAAGCAGGCACTGTCAGGGTTGGCCACACAGGGCTACAGTGGGGATGGTCCATGCCCAGGCATCAACCTGCTCCAGAACCTGGGTGGGCTCACCTGGGGGCTGTTCCCTGCCCGGGCCGAAGCCTCTGCCCGCCGCATCTTCTCCACCTCAATCTCTCGGGCAATGAGCTGCTTGGCCTGGTAGGTGAGGGGCTTGCGGGCAGGCAGCTCAGGGAAGCGGCAGAGCTCTTCCACGTTCCTGCTCAGAGTGGGCAGGCACCAGGGCACCGGTCAGTGGGGCCAGGCCCAGGGCCAGAGACCCACGGGGCACACCAAACGCCACAACAGTAGAGCGGGAATGTGGGGTTGAATCCCGGCACCACTGCACCCCAGCCCTGCAGCAGCCGGGTTTAACACCCCTAAGCCTCAGTTTCCCCAACTGCAAGCGTACACAGGATGACGAAACCTGCTGAGGGTTTCACAGAGTGACTTGGCGTCCTGCACGCCAGTCCCGTCGCTGGAGCAGGAGGACCCCGGGGCCACTGCCCCGTGCCTCAGCCCCGCCACCCTGTGGCCAACCCACAGTGGGACTCTCAAGGCTGCCTGGCTGCAGCTCCACGTGGGGACGCAAAGGCAGGGAGCAGCTCTGCAGCAGAACTCTGGTCCCACGGCTGTGCCCAGCCTCTCACGGTCACATCTGGGCAAAGGCTGCGCTGCGCCCATCGCCCCCGGACACCCTCCCGTGACTGCTCTCAAGACTCCTGGTCCCACGCGGGCCTTGGCACCTGGAGCGCCACCCCCAGTCCCCCACCCCAGGCGCCATGGGACTCACGGCTCAAGCCTGTAGATGTACTGCCCGTCGGGCGTGCGCTCCTGGCGGTAGGTCAGGCTGTAGGCAAGCATCGTGCCCACCAGGCTGGCCAGCTGTTGCTTCTCGCGGACACTGTATAGCTGCGTGCTGACCTGGGTGGGGCAGCAGGCGGGGGGCTGAGCAGGCTGTACTGCTGTGTGCTCACATGGGGTGGGGGAGCAGCAGGTGGGGAGTCCCCCACCCTAGGAAGGACACTCACAGGGCGCAGCTTGGGTGCGAGAATGTCGAGGAGCAGGCAGAGGGCGTCCAGGAGCAGAGCCTGGGGCGTAGCCCGGCTGCGCATGGCTGGCACGATGCCGGACACCAGCGTCTGGATCAGGTTCCTCATCTGGCTCGTCCGGTTCTGGGCCTGGGGCAGTGGGTGACCCAAGGCCTGGTCACGGGGCCTCCCAGGCCAAGTGGGGAAACGGGAGGGGAGCAGCCACACGGACGGACGGCACAGAGGGCTCAGGCGGGCACACCTCCTGCTGGCTGCTGGGGAAGGTGATCCTGGGCGTGTGGCTGGAGGCGAACAGCATGTGGAAGGCCACGGGCAGGAAGGGTGGGTAGCGCAGCAGCTGGAAGCTCTGGCTGTGGTGGGCAGCCCGTGCCAGCAGGTCGTCGAAGGCCAGCCAGTCGAGGGCCGTGCACACGGCACCCAGGCTGGAGTCCCGCAGGCGCAGGCGCAGAAAGTTGTCAAACAGGCCCTGCAGGCGGCCAGCGACCCTGAGCTCCTGCACACCCCAGGGGAGGCGTGCCACCGTGGCCCCCACCTCCCGCCTGCCCCATGAGGCCGGGTGTCTGGGGCAGCAGCAAACACCATCGAGGAGCCACAGGGCCCAGGGGGTTTGGGGAGGGTCCACCCTAAGCAACCCCACTCCAGCTTGACAGGCTGAGGGGGGGTTCACCGCCCACCAGGTGGCCTCCAGGAGCCAAAGGGGTGCAGCCTCGCTCAGCCCTTCCTTAGACCGCCTGAGGAAGCTCCACCCACCAGAATCCAGGGCATGGAGGCCCCCCACATTCTGCAGCGGAGTCCATCACCCCCGCTGCTCCACACCGCCCCCCTACACCATGTCTCTACAGCACAGATTTCAGGATTGGTCGTGGATCCCCAGTCGCTAATCCAAAGCTGCTTAGAGTTGGTAGGTAGCTTAGCCAGGGACTCCCAGGGGTAGGGTGGCAGCAAGGCCTCTGCCACGTGCTCAGGCCAAGCCGTCACTGCCCTGCTCTCCACCCCACGTGCCAGCCCCTCACAGCCCTAGGCCAGGTGGTCAGGCAGAGGCTCCACCCCAACTGGCTGAGAGTCCCGAGCAGCCTCCACCACAGCCTCCCCAGTCAGACGCCCGCTCCCTCCCTCCTTGCCTGCCGAAGCCCATGCCCTACAGCCACCCGCCCCCCCGGGCTCCGGCTCCCCACCTCAGAGGCCTCCTGGTGCCCCATCTCCCAACGCCCGTCTCCCTCTCTCAGCACCCCGAGGCATCTCCCCTCCTCACGGAGGGCCGGCAGGGGCAAGGGCACAGCCCAGGCCCTGACCAAGCGGCCCCCAGCGGGGATTTTGGTGGAGGGCAAGTACCTGGACCACCTTCTCGTGCTCGCCCGCAGAGGCAGCCGCGTGCAGAACGTGGTAGAATCGCTGCGAGGCCGAGGTCAGGGAGCCCGCGTCCCTGTCACCCAGCAGGAGCGTGTCGGCAGGCAGGGCAGGGTCCTGGCCCACACGGCGCCTGCAGATGGGGGACTGAAGCTGGACGGGCCCGTGTGCAAGCGGAGGCAGCCCCAGTCCACGCTTCTCAGCAGGGCCCTCACTCCCTCGCTCACGTGGAGACAGCTGGGGACACAACCTGCCCTCAACTCCCTGAAAACCTCCCTCAACGTGAGGAGGAGCCCTGTCCTGACCCTCTGGGTCCAGGAGACCCCAGAGTGAGCCCACCCCCGACCCCGGGGTCCAGGCCAGGAGCAGCACGTCCCGCAGCCCCAGGCTGGCACCTCTCATGCCCCAGGGAACAACCAGACCGGCACCCCCTGGGGCCCCGCACCAGGCCACACAGACGTGCTGGCTGCTTCCACCCACAGGAGACCTCGCGGTATGGGCAGGCAGGGGTACGGACACCACAGCCCAGACCGAATGTGGCAAAACTGAGGGTGCAGCTGGGCCAGAGGTGGAAGCCGAGCTGCGGGGCCCCCGGGGGACCCCACAGAATCAGGGCGTCCTTCCCACAGGGGCCCTGGTGGCCTCCATGGCTGAGCCACCAAGGCTGGGTGGCAAAACAAGCCAGGAAAAGGCCAGGAGGGCCCTGGAAGCTGGCAGGCAGCCACGGACTCAGGACACGGAGTTCCCAGCTCGGCTGCGCTGGTCTGCACGGAGGGCCAGCATCCCGGGGCCCAGGCCCCACGGCTGTCTGAGCCAAGGCCGTGTCGCCCACCTCTGGGCTCGAGGCAGCTGGAAGACCTCCTGCCACACTGAGAAGAGCCCTCTGCGCTGGTCCTTGAGGCCCACGCGTGTGGCCCGCACGTCCCGCACGCTCAGCTCCCGCTGGCCCCGGCTGTGCAAAAACTGGACGAGTGGGAGAAGCATAAGAGGCAGCCAACTCCCAACCCCTTCCCGCCCCACTCGGCACCGGCCCGCCCCCGACCTGCAGGGTGTTGATGCAGGCCCGAATGTCATTGTCCGTTTTCTCGCAGAGGGCAGCCAGCACCCCAGGGTCGGCCCTCAAGCCCCGCCGCAGGGAGACCTGCAGGAGAAGTAGGCTGCGGAGGGTCCCAGCATGTGCCCCACCCTGCCGGGGTTACCGGGGGCTCCACAGGGAGGGGACAGGGAAACCGGGGCTAGGACGAGGCCACGCCCCCAACCCTGCGTCGGCCATCGGCCGGGCAGCTCCCTGGGCCCCACTGACCTCCTGGAGACGCTGCACCAGCCTCGAGGGCAGAGTCGGCGGGAAGTGCAGCAGGAAGGCCTGCTGCTTCAGCTGCCGCAGGGATGGCACGAACCTGAGGAGGGGCAGCAGCGCCAGGGACCCAAGGTGGGCACCACAGCCCGGGGCATGGCACGGGCCGGGGCCTCTCCTGACCGCAGCACCCGCCCACACTCACTGGTCATTGCAAATGCAGATAATGGGCCTCATCAGCAGTCCCCCCTCCGCCCGGCGCCGCCGGCCACCACTCAAAGGCACAGCCTGGCCCTGGAGCTCCGCCTCCTGCGGGCCCTTGCGGTTCAGGATGCTCAGGAGGACGCTGATGGCAGCCTTGAGGGAGGTGAAGCAGACAGTGAGCCTGGGCCCCGGTGCCCGTCTGCCCGCCCTCCCAGGCATCAGGGAGCCCACCATGGGGGCCCCGTCGATCTCATCGATGACCAGGCAGTTGGGCTTCCCACGAGCACCCAGCACCGACTCCATCTGCGTCGCCGCCTCGATGCGTGTGCGGAAGACCTCGGGGCTGCGGTCGTCACTGGAACGGTGAGGTCCGGGATCAGGGCAGCCGGTGTCCCTGGCAGGGGAGCCTCCCGAGACCAGGGCTGCCGTCCCTACACTGAGACTGCCATGTGACGTGGCTGCGGTGACCCCGTGAATCCCGAAGAAGGACACATTTCCCCAGCCCACAGCCGCAGGCTCCCCCTGCCCCCACCCTCAAGACGGGAGCGTCAGGAGCATCCACCCCCAGTCTCAGCTCCACAGCCAGGCTGAAACACAGCAGGACGGACATGAGAGCCACCCACCTGGCGTTCACCTCCACCACAGAGTACCCCGCGTGCCGTGCAATCACGTGTGCCAGAGTGGTCTTCCCCAACCCCGGGGGCCCGCACAGCAGCGCCACCTGCAGCCCAGGGAGACAGAGACGTGGTGTGTCCCGCACCCACAGAACGCGCCCGGCCAGCGGCCAGGGACAGCAACGTGTGCCCCACAGGCTGGGCGCTCCCCAGCCCGCCAACAAGAACAAAACTGGCCACGTTCACGCACCAAGAAGGCAACAGAAAAAAACCCGTGCAGTGTAAGGTTTGTACAGACGAGACACAGCTGGTACCGACGTGCCTGGCCCCCAGAAACCACCAACCATCCACCTAGATCATCCTGGCCAGATGCAGAGCCTTTTAGGGGCACTGACTTCCCCCGACTTGTCACTGAAACAGATTCCAGTTCTAACTGGTGTTAATGGTGTTTCACGCCAAGACCCTCAAGTCACCACGCCCAGCCTCCTAGAAAAAGCCTTATAGAACCCGGAGGCTGCGAGGGTGCCAGCCATCCAGTGCAAAGCCTCAGGCTTGGTGCTGGCGCACAGCAGGAAGGGCTCACCTTGTGCCGTGGCCGCTGGCTCGGGTCCAGTCCGGCCTCCAGCGTCTCCTCCAGCACCTGCTCATGGCTTTTCCACTTGCCTGGGGCTGTGGCCTCCTTGCTGGCCCGGGCTGGCTCAACACTGGGCCTGGGCTTCCGGGCAGGCCTCTCGTGGCCAAACACCACCAGGTCCCACAGCTTCAGCCACTTGAGCAGGCAGCGGTTGGTGAACTGAGGGAGGGGACGCACAGCCTGAGGGCACCACCTCCAGGCACAGGGAGTCAGCCTGCCACCGTGAGCCCCGGGACCCCAATGGGACACCCAGCCTCGGGATGAATGGCCACCCCCGTCTCCCTGTAGGTGAGTGACCGAGGGGCTCACACCAGGGGCTCTGTCCCCAACCCATAGGGGAGGCCCCTGCCCTCCCCAGGGGCACCCCGGTGTGGGCTGCTGTGAAGGTGGGAAAGGGGACAGAGGCTTGGATCCGGGGACAACCTGGACCCCTGGCCAGGCTCACAGGTCACGGGAGGCCAGCAGCACACAGCCCTGTGCTCAGCTCCCGCCTACAGCTCCAGGGGGCAGACCAGAGTCCCCCCTCCATCCCTGAGGCCCAGCGAACTGGCTGTGCAAAGACCAGCAGGCCCAGGTTCTTCCCTCGTGGGAACAGAGGGAGCCGGTCACACTTGAGCGAGAACAAGACCTCACGTCATCACTGAGCAGCTCCGTGTAGTGCCGGGGCGCAAACTCGTCCACCCAGAGGCAGTGGGGGGAGGCGTCTTGGCCGGCAGCCAGCTCCTTCTCGGGGGCCTCCTCAGGCTGCGCTGCCTCCTCCTCCTCTGACCTGAGGCTGGAGAGGACCCTGCCCTGAGCCACAAACCCCTCACAGGGAGCCATGCTGACCCACGCCTCACCAATACGAGCTAGGAGTTGATGCAAGAGCCCAAAAGGGTCCCCAGGGCAGAAGGGCCGGCCGAGTCACCTGTGCAGGGTGTCTGAGAGCTGCTGGGCCTCCTGGAGCAGCCGCTGCCGCCGCTGTGCAAACACAGGCTGGGATCAGGAGGGCTCAGGCGGCCCCAGCACCCCCCCACCTCCCCATCAAACCCTCAGCCCCAACCTCGCTGTCGACCTGCTCCTTCAGGGAGGCGAAGGACACACCCAACAGGTCCAGCTGGCCACCGCCTCGCCATGGGACGTGGGGGAGAGGACTCTGTGGGGAAGGGAGGGACACGGTTGCCTCTGGAGCCTTCCCAGGTCAAGGGGTTCACCTCAGCCCCCATCAGCGCTCAGGGACCCAGGTGGGACAACCCCAGTAAGCTGGCCAGTGGGGCGGTGGGAGACTGGACAGGGGGGCCAAAGGAAGGAAGCCACCCAGATGGGGCATCTACAGAGGAGAATCGAGGGGTAGCTTCACCAGGAAGGAGAACAGGGAGGGCACACGTGGGAGGGGAAGCAGGGAGGAGGCCCTCTCCACCCCTAGGCCACGCAAACAGGCTGGACGGCAGCCCCGGGGGGGGAGGGTGTGTCCTCTAAGGCTGCACGCTGTGGGAAGAAAGTTGCCCAGGTGCCACGGCAAGACACTGAAGACACAACTGTCCCGGGTGATAAATGATTACTCAGATACAGCAACACAGCACACTTACCAATTAGTTACAGCATGACAAACGATTACTGACAGAAATGACACAAGTTAGATACTAAGCTTATCACATAATTAATCCTATTACATCACTATTCTCTATTAACCTTTGCTTTGCCGCAAGAATATCTTTACTCCTACAAAATAGGCATAATCGGGTGAAACATAATCAGGAACTGAAGGGACATTGTGAGAAGTGATCAGAAGGTGAGTGCCAGCGTCTGGGGAGGTGCCCCTTACTTAGCAGGCCGTGAGGGGGAGTTTCCCTATCACTGGGGAGTTCAGAAAACACTCTGCTCTGCCGGCTCTCGAGGAAGGTCTGACCCTGCCAGGCCGGCCCGAAGACATCCAGGGGCTTAAACACCTCTCCGTGGTGCTGTGCTCGGACGGTCCCCATCTGTGTCCACCTTCATGTTCCCCTTTCCCACCCAATGCTCCCTTGTAAATTCTTAGAAGCTGTGAAAAGCAGGAATATAGAAATCCTAAAAAGCCTTTGATCTCTCTGGTAAGTGCATAGAAAGAAACCGATATAGGAGCCTCCGCTCCTTCCACCGGCCACCTGAGAGGGAGGGGCCCTCTGCACAGTACCCACGCGGCCCCCCATATTGTAAGAACGTGATTTGCTTGACCCTACCAATCATGTCAGCTAAATCACTCTCCCTACCCTGCCCCCTGCCTCGCAGACAATAAATAGGATCGTCCAGGCATTTGGGGCCACTGCTGGACTCCACGCCTTGCCAGCAGGGGCCCCCAACCCAGCTGAGGTCTCTTATCTCTGCATCTTGCATCTCTCTTTTCTACGATCCGTTGTCTCCGAACACAAAAGAACACCCGCTAGACCCTGCGGGGCTGGACCCTGCAGCACCCCACGAAGCAGCCCGCCCCTCTGCAGCCCCTGGCGGTGTGCACAGGACCCGCTTTAAGCAAACGGCCCAGGTGAGGGCTCCCAGGACACCTTCCTGAGCAGCACCAGCCCATCCACCATGCGGGAAGGCCACAGCCACCGGCAGCCCCAGGCCATGACGTGTCGCTGCACCCACCTGCACCCCCGTGCCCATGGGGTCAGCACGCAGCACCAGAAAGGCCCGGACGCCCTCCGTGGATGTCACGTGAACATAGTCCTCGAAGATGGGGGGCCGTCTCAGGACAGGATTTCGGGGGGCTGGTGAGGCCTGTGTGAGACCCACGTCGGCAGCAGCCTCTGAGGCTCTGGAGAGAGACCAGGGATCAGTGGCAAAAACTCAAGCCTCGGGTCACCAGTGGACACGAGTCCGACGCCGCCCTGAGCCGCGGAACCCTCCCCATTCCCCAGGCATCTTCCAGGAAACAGGAGGGTTGCACCTGAGTCCCACAAGGCAAATGGGGTGGGACACCCGTATGCGAGCCACACACCCACGGCCCCACAGCTCGGCGAGGTCCTCAGGGCCAGGCGGAGGGGTGATGTCCCTCGGTGGGGTGGCGGGCGGCGGCGGCCCCTCCAGCTCCTCCGACCTGAAGTTCAGCCTCTTGGCCACCTGCAGCCGGGGCCGTTTGATCCTGGGCGCTGCGGGAGACACAGACAAGGAGCCAGGGGCCTCCCAGCCTCGCCCCACCCGAGGCCCTGGGGCGACGCCGCGACCTACTGCGGGGCGGGGACCCGGCCGGCGGCGGGCCCGCGTCCACCTGCCTCTTGCTGGCGCGGCCCCGGCTGCTGCCCGGAGAGGCGGCTGCGGCGGGGCGGGAGGCCGCGGCCCCTCCGGCGAGGGCCTCCTCGAACGTCCGCGGGGGCCGGCCCGCAGGGGGCGCGGGGACCCCGGAGGGCGATGGAGTCGACGCCCCTGCGGGGAGAGGAGGTTCTCGGCGGCCGCCCCGGGACAGCGGATCCCGCCAGCGGCGAGGAAGCCCCCGGCCCCCGCGCGCCCCCGCGAGGCGGCCTCCGTCCCGGCTCCCGACCCCGGGCTGCGCGGCCCGCCGCCTCCCGAGCAGTCCCTGACGGGGCCGCGCCCCACCTTCCAGCTCGGCCAGCACCTCCAGCTCGGCCGCGAACTGGCTGTGGAAGTCATCCTCCACGCCGCGCAGCTCCTGCTCGTAGTCCTCCATGCCGTCCGCGACACCCGGCTCCTGCTCCGAATCTCCCGCGCCGCCGCCGCCGCCGCCGCCGCCGCGCGCCGCCGCCCCGAGCGTGCCGAGCGCAGCCAATCAGCGGCCGGCGTGCCCAACGCCGCTCGCCATTGGTAGGCGGGGCGGAGGCGGGGCGGAGCGCGTGGTGGGCGGGACGGGTTCCTGATTCCCAGTCGCCGTGGCTGGCCCTGGGGAGCTCGCCATTGGCCGGCGCTGCCGCCCTTCCGCGGCGGGGGCGGGGCGGGGGCGGGGGCGGGGCTTCGCGCGCAGCGGGGCAGGGCGGGGGCGCTGCCAGGCGTCCGGAGCGGCGGTTCCAGGATCCCTGGGTCGGGAGCGCGCGGGCGCAGGGCTGGAGCCGGCCCCGGGCACGGCATCGGGGGCTTGGACGGCGCGGCCCCGCAGCAGGTCGGCCTTGGCGTGAGCGGGGGCGCGGGAGGGGCTCGGAGCCGGGGTCTGCCCGCACACCGGGCCTGTGCGGGGCGCGAGTCTTCGCGGGCTGCGGGCAGCGAGGAGGCCCCAGCGCTGCCCCGCGCCCCGGGCTGACCTGGCTGCTCGGCCCCGGGGTTGCTGCAGCCCTTCGCCGCCCCTGCCGTCGGGCAGAGGCCGCCACGTGCATTCCCTGGACAGGAGGGTCTGTGGGGGAGGCTCTGCGAGGCGGGGTCGGAACGGCTGTTTCTCCGGGCCTGGGTCAGGCAGGGCCCCTCCGGTCGGTCCCGAGCGGGCTGACTTCCCGGCCTCACCGCGGGGAGTGGGTGCAGGTGCACAGTAGGTCTGCGCGCCTGGCTCGGTGGCTTTGCACCGGAGCTCGCGGGGCGGGGACGTCTGTGGGATGGGCGCCTCCCACGTGCTCACGGCACACCCACCCACGCGCGGCTCAGCAGGCCCGCCATGGAGCCGGGCAGCGTGGAGAACCTGTCCATCGTGTACCGGAGCCGCGATTTCCTGGTGGTGAACAAGCACTGGGACCTTCGCATTGACAGCAAGACGTGGCAGGAGACCCTGACCCTGCAGAAGCAGCTGCGGCACCGCTTCCCGGAGCTGGCCGACCCTGGCACCTGCTATGGATTCAGGTACGCGGGTGGCCGGAGCCCCACAGCAGCGTCTGTGGAGGGAAGTGGCTCAGACGCTGGACTTTGCCCCACCCCAGGTTCTGCCACCAGCTGGACTTCTCCACTAGTGGGGCGCTGTGCGTGGCCCTGAACAAGGCAGCCGCCGGCAGCGCATACAGGTGCTTCAAGGAGCGGCGCGTGACCAAGGCTTACCTGGCACTGGTAAGACCTGGTCAGTCCGGGGCAGGGTGAGGGGACTCAGGCCTCCCAGCACACTTGGGCAGGCCCTGGCTCAGAGCATCCCACTTCTTGCTACATGGCTGCCGGGTGTTAGGTGGGCTCCCCAGCAGTGGCAGGCTGTTCCGTGAACTGCGTGTGATCCACCCCACCCTGCAGCTTCGGGGGCACATCCAAGAGAGCCGGGTGACCATCAGTCATGCCATCGGCAGGAACAGCACAGAAGGCCGGGCCCACACCATGTGCATCGAGGGCACGCAGGGTGCGGCAGGCAGGGACCCAGCGGGTGGACATGCTGGGTTGGGGTGGGCCTGAGCAGACAGGGATCAACCGGGCAGGCATGGTGGGTTGGGGTGGGCCTGGGCCCCAGGCTGGCCCCGCTGACCGCACTCCTGCCTTCTGCACACCCCAGGTTGTGAGAACCCAAAGCCAAGCCTGACGGAGCTGGTGGTTCTGGAGCACGGGCTGTACGCAGGCGATCCCGTCTCCAAAGTGCTGCTGAAGCCGCTCACAGGTGTGTCTGGGGTGGGTGGTGTCCCGATGGTGACAGAAGGGAAACTGAGACACAAGCCCACGTCGCCTGTGTTGGGTCACCCTAACCCTCAAGTCAGACTTGGCAGCAAGCCTCTCTGCTCGCAGCTGCACACCCTGCAGTCTCTTATCCTTTTACCTGACACAGGTTCCCTGCTGGCTTCTGACAGTGCCGGGGGATCTGGCTGGCCTGGATTTTCCAGGACCAAGCGCCACCCTAGTCATCTGTCCGGAACACTGCCATCCACCCACGGCAGGGGACAGGGAGAGCTCCACCCCGAGGGGCGCTCCCACCCCCCGCTGACCGGCGCCGCTCTCCCCGCAGGTAGGACGCACCAGCTGCGCGTGCACTGCAGTGCTCTGGGCCACCCCGTGGTGGGCGACCTGACCTACGGAGAGCCCTTGGGCCGGGAGGACCGGCCGTTCCGAATGATGCTGCACGCCTTCTACCTTCGCATTCCCACGGACGGCGAGTGCGTGGAGGCCTGCACGCCCGACCCCTTCCTGCCCTCCCTGGACGCCTGCTGGAGCCCCCACACCCTGCTGCAGCCGCTGGACCAGCTAGTGCAAGCCTTACGGGCCACCCCTGACCCTGACCCTGAGGATGGGGCCCCTGGGCCAGGTAGCCCCTCTGCACTCCTGCCTGGGCCCGGCCGGCCCCCGCCACCCCCCACCAAGCCCCCTGAGACCGAGACACAGCGAGCCTCCTGCCTGCAGTGGCTGTCGGAGTGGACGTTGGAGCCGGACAGCTGAGAGCCGTGGGGCTGGGGTGAGGGTGGGGGTTGGGCCAGCGAGCATGTGGTCACCGGCTCTGGGGCCTGGAGGTGCCCAGGAACTCAGGGCCCACTGGGCTGCCCAGGCCAGGCCTGCGGGGAAGGACTGAGGAGGGGCCAGCAGGGGGCACCAGGGATGCCTGGTTGCCGGCAGATAGGGCACTGAGACTGCGGGGCTGCTGGGGAATCCGAGGGCCTCCCTCCGCACGCGCCCCAGGAGAAACCCCAATCTGCTCCCACCTCCTGGAACAGCTTCCAGCTCCCAAGCTTCACCCCCGAGGTGTCTGTTTTATGGACTCAAGGTCACTCCCAGGAGAGGAAGTGCCGGGTTTTGGACTAGCCTTTGCCGCCAGGTGGGCCCCTCCTGGGCCCAGCCAGCTGCTGGCCACAACCTACCCACTGGAGGGGCTAGGAAGGGCTGTTCTGGTCTCACCTGGCCTGGGAGACCCTGCGTCCTGAAGGCCCTGTGTCCTGAAGGTCCCTGCGTCCTGAAGGCCCTGCGTCCTGAAGGCCCTGCGTCCTGAAGGTCCCTGCGTCCTGAAGGCCCTGCGTCCTGAAGGCCCTGCGTCCTGAAGGTCTCTGCGTCCTGAAGGCCCTGCGTCCTGAAGGCACTGCCCCTCACCCCGCTGTGCAGAACCTCTCGCCTTCAGCCGCCGCCTCCTGAAACCCAACACTCCCCGCTGGGCCGGGGTCTGCAGGCCCTGCTGCATGTGCCTTGGCCTCACTGTACCCGTGGCTCCCCCTTCTCCGCCCGGATTCTGAGCTTAGGGTGGTACTTGGTGCACAGGGGTCCGTCGGGGGCCATGGCCGAGGCCCTGCCGCACACGCCTGTACTTATATCCACCGTGAGCACTGCCACTGCTGCAGGGTCTCCCAGGCCCCAGCTGCTGTCCCTGCCACGTCACCGCCTGCCTGGCTCCCACTCTGCCTCCGTGGGCCTGTCAGGTCCCACCTTTTCTGTACCCCATGCTCAGCCCCGGCCCCTGGCTGCAGTGGGGTTCCAGGAACTCCAAATAAATGCTCAGTGACTGACCCCAAGGGTGACCGTGAATGTGTCCAAAGTGGGGGTTCCAAGGGACAGGCCTGGCTTCCCGAACCCGTTCTAGCCGCCTTCCTGCACATCCGTGCCCTGAGGCGACCCAGCAGGACCCGGGAGAGACGCAGTGGTCCTGGCTGCCATCGGCCTCTCCCCTACACAGCAAGCACCCCACAGCCTTGGTTGGGGCAGGCCCCAGACAACCCCCAGCTCCCACAAGCAGAACCGCAGGAGCACCTGGCTGTGCCAAGCCAGGGACCCTTGTGGAGCCCACGCCCTCGTGTGAGCTCAGGCCTGGGCCCCCAACTGTCAGAGCTCTGCAGGAGGGGAGTCTCGTGCCCCAGCACTGGTCTGAGGTCCGCCTGGCCGCTGCCTGCCACTGTTCAGCTCCGGGGCCAGCCCTAAAACCCTGGTTAGGACCCCAGCAGTGGCGGCAGCAGAGCCTGCACCCGAGGCAGCTACCCACCAGGACTCTGAGCTGAGATGCAGCCTACAGGCCCTGGACTCACTGCTGCCATGCCCTGTGCCTCAGTTTCCTCATCTGTAAAGGGAGGGGCTGGAGCAGATCCGAAGAGGCCACATGAGCCTCAAGTGGCACCAGTCGGTCCACCCCAACGGACCGACTTTGCAGCAGCAAAGGCCTCCCGGCCAGCATACCCCTCACTTCCCAGGCCACGTGCCGGCCAGCTCCGGGACAAAGTCACCCTCGGGCACCGATCCCCAGCCTCCCCACCTCCCATGCTGTCTTGTCTCCTGGCTTCCTCCTGGTCCTCCTGTGAATCAGCCCGTCAGAGCCAGGCACGCCTGCCCTCTCCAGCTGGGACTGTCTCCCCACCCCGCCCCACGGGACCCCACTGTCTATACTGGGGGCCGCTGGCCTCACTGCCCCTCACTGTGACAGGTTGTGGTTGTCAGTGCTGCTGTGCCCAGCTGATGGCCAGCCAAGGAGCCTTCGAGGCCAGTCCTGAGCTGGACCCTCCTGGACAAGCCAGGTGTGAGCGCCGCCCCTCATGGTGGCTGCACCTCGCTGTCAGTTCTCCAAGGGGCACCTGGGTTCCCGTGGGCCTGTGCAGCCTGGGGAGCAGTAACCCACCTGCCCCCTGCTGTCAGCCCCCCAATACCAGGATCAGGGTAAAGTCTCAGCTTGGCCCTGGGGGTGGCTTGTTGGTGCCAGGGGTGGTCAGGCCACAGCTGACCTGAGCTGCAGGCCCGGGGCTGAGCCCCTCCCAAAATAAGACCTGGGGTGGGTGGGCCAGGCTGGGCTCCCTGGGGGGAGGTGCCCTGTGGGCGGGCTGGGAAGTCCCTCCTCTCTCCTCCCACCGTGGCCTGCCTAGTGGAGCCCATGGAATGGCCGCAACCGTCACCATGTGCCTGACATCCCTGCACAGGGACACATGGCGTATCTGTGTCCGTGCTCCGGGCACCCAGACCAGGAGGGTCGAAATGCCGACGCACGTGCCCCTGTGCACACACGAGCACAGGAAACATGGTGGACTCAGATGCAGGTGCACAACACGACCTCTGGGGTGCAGGTGCTGCAGATCAGGGCCCCAGTGGGTAGGGAGCAGTGTGAGCTGAGCAGCTGCCAGCTGTGAGCTCAGCCTGCACTCAGGGAAGGGAGCAGGTGCCCGCTGTGCCTGAGGCCTCCGGAGGCTGACATGGTGCATTGCCTGGCACAGCCCGGGCCTCCCCCACGGGACTGCCAGGCGGACGTCACCGTGGGACTGGGGCTGGGCGGGGCAGGGCAGTCTCACACCTCCTGCAGGCCAGGCATGGACGTGAGCGGGGACGCCAGCACCCCCGCCCTGCACATCGTCTGCACCCGGGTGCTCAGCGCAGCAGCTGACGCACTTGGCGGGCTGGGATTGCGTCTGGAGCACCTAGTCTGCAGCTCCCTGCCAGAGGCCGCCGCCCCACCGCCCCAGCAGCACCTCCCCTGCCACAGCCAGGGCTTCTGCTCAGGTGAGCCCCACCAGCCTACCTACGGGGCAGTCCAGACACATGGCTGGGCCTGAGCCCCTGTATCTGCCTCTGCATGGGGCAGCCTCCCTGTCTCCCTCTTGGGCCACAGTCAGGAGGCCCAGAGGTGTCCAAAAGCCACGAGGCTGTGCCCAGGAGGAGGCAGTGGCCCACAGCAGTACTGGGACCCCGACTCCTCCTGGGCCCCTGGTCTTGCAGCTTCCATTTTCAGCGGGGCTGAGTGACCCTGGCTGCCACTGGGGACCAGATGTCAGCGACAGACCCGGACACCTAGGACCCAGAGAGAGACAGGGAGCTGCCAGGGCCTCTGGGTGTGGGGACGGAGCCGGGCTGCACCAGGCTGCCTGGGGGACTCGCTGTTTTCGGGAGATCTGCTCATTGGAGATGCCGCAGCCCGTGGGCCCCCTGAGCCCCGACCCACGATGAGAAAGGCCCCAGCGTTTCCCCCGCTCCACTCCCCACCACTGCCTTTTGCTGTTTATGGGCTCCTCTCCCTTCGAAGGTTGGGAGAGCCACAGCTCTGGCCCAGCCGCCCCTGTGAGCCTGGACTGCACCCCGTCTCTGCACCCCAGGGGGTGGGAGGCGCAGTGGGGTCAGCCTGCATCTCACCTCTCCAGCTAGTCCTGGACCCATTGACCGTGGCCCCAGCGCCTACCTGCCCCAGGACGTCTCAGCCAGGATGACCAGTACTCACCACCGCACAGACGTGGGCCCCGGAGTGGGTGAGACGAGACCTCCATGTGGAAGGGGGGCCTCCCAAGCACCAGGCCCGTGTGGCAAAACCATCCCGCAGATGTGGACGAGCCCAGGGCCCCGGCCACCCCACCCTCCCGAGTCGGGGTCTGTGCCAAGCCGAGGAAGAAGGAAGGTGGGCCCCGCCCACCAGCAGCGGCCTCCGGGGGTGGGGCTGCCGGGGCACAATAAGCCCCGCCCCCTGCAGCAGGCCTGGGGGTCCCGGTGAGGGGTGAGGCAGGGCACGCAAGCCTGGCAAGAAGGGGCCACTCCTGGCCCAGGCAGCTGCACGCGGCTTCCGGAGAAACGTGGGGGTGAGTGGAGACAGCCCAGCACAGGCAGGGCTGAGCTCTGAGGCCAGGGTGGAGAGGGACCCTGGCCACACCCAGGGTCACCCAGTGCCTCACCCTCCCTGAGCGGGACGGGCCGGGCCCAGCAGCCCAGGAGGCCGTGGGCAGATGTGTGCGGACTGTGGCGACACCGGCTCCGTAGAGCCCTTGGACGCTGGAGAAGAGGCTCTGCCACGTGGTCTGCTCCCTGGGGCCAGCAAGATAAGGGGGTCCTTCCTGGGCTGGGCCCCCAGTTCCTGCTGGGAGGCCGTGCCATGAGCCCGCTGCACAGCGGAGCAGCTGAGGGCCTCGAAGGTGGCTTCTGCCCCCACAGCTCCTCTGCCGTGGGGGTCTCGGGGCTGCACTGTGAGGACACAGAGCCAGGGGCATCTGGTGGAGGGAGAAGGAGCTCCCACAGTGCCCCCGCCTCTCACACGTGTGCACACAACGGTGTACACATGCACAGTCACACGCACACGCACGCACATGCACACACATGCACACATACACACATGCACACACGCACAGTCACACACGCAGTCACACATGCCCGCACACACACACATACACACACGCGCACACGCACAGTCACATGCAGTCACACATGCCCGCACACACGTGTACACGCACACGCACACACACACGCACACACAGTCACACACGCAGTCACACATGCCGGCACACACGCACAGTCACACACGCAGTCACACATGCAGTCACACATGCCCGCACACACACGCACACGCACACACGCACGCCCGCACGTCCACAGCGTCACGCCCGTGCTGGTACCATCACACACCCGGCACTCAGTCCCAGGCTGTGCACAGGTGGCTGGTGCTCTGTAGCTCTAGAAGTTCCTCCATGTTCTCTGGCCTCGAGGCCCCCATAGTGGGGCTCACAGGTCCACCCCAGGACCCGGGTGCCCCAGCTCCTGCTCCTGCCGGGACCCTCACGGCCAGCCTTATTGCAGGTGTCCTGCGGAGCTCAGCCCTCATGCTCTTCCTGTCCCTCGCCGCTCACTGTTCTGGGCCCCAGGCCAAGGGTCTTTGCCCCGGAGGGACGGATGCCAGCAGGGCCGACCTGTGGGCCAGGTGAGTGTGACCCTCCTGCAGTCGGGGTCGGCTTCTCAGCCCGGCCAGGGGATGGGAGGGCTCTGGGGGTTGCCACAGGCAGTCTCCATGCTGGGGCTGTCACCTCCTGCTCCACCCCGAGGGTACAGGCCTTGGGGCTCCTGGCCCAGCTGGGCCTGGACAGGAAACCCCTATAGGAACCACCACGGCCTGCCCGCGGCTGTGAGGGAGCCGGCTCCAGGAGTGGGGCGGTCAGCGGGCAGGGCTGGCCAGGGCATCGGAAGGTGGGCTAGGCTCCACCCTCCTGAGTCCTGAGGCAGCTGGGACTCAGACAGCGCCAGGGCACACAGTAGGCCCCAGTATATACTGGCTGTCACTCGGACAGGAGCCACAGCCTCCAAGGACCCAGTGTCCAGTGCCCAGCTTCGGACCTACACAGCTGGGCATGGGTCCCTTAGTCACCTCCGAGGCCGCAACCCTCAGGCCCAGCCGCGTCTGCCCACCCCAGAGGACACTCGGTGCTTCCCCGCACTGCCTGGAGGCTCATGCTGGGCTTGGCCCTCCTTCCCATCCCACATAGCTGGTGACAGTGCAGCCTGGTCAGTTGACTAACCAGGGGGGCTGCGAGGCAGGGCGGGGGTCCTGAGTGGTCCAAGGCCCCCTGAGTCCAGACTGGATTGGAGTCACACCACAAGGAAGGCTGGGGACACGGCTTCCCGGGGCCTCCCGGCAGGTGTCAAATCTCAGGTGCCTCCGCAGCCCAGCCGGTGGGGTGGTGGGGGAGCTTCCTGAGCTCCCAGCCGGCTGGGAACCGGCCTTAAGAGGAAGTGCCACCCCAGGTCTGGACAGGGCTGTGCATGCTGCTCAGAGCCTGGCCCCACAGGGTGCTCTGGAGAATGAATGAGTGAATGAAGCAGGATCTTGGCTTCATTGGGGGCACCACGTCCTGCTCTCCCTTCCTCTGTGCTGGGGGTGGCGGAGTCTGACCTCGATCCTGCAGGTTGGGTGTGGCCTGCGCCCTTCCGCTGGGCAGCACCCCCTCAGCGGCCTCCGCCCTTCCCGGACCCTCCCGGCCACCATCTCCTCCTCTCTGCCCAGTGCCAACCGCTCCCAGCTGCAAGGCTTCTGGTGCCAGCCGGCCAGCCAGCTGCCCCGGGACCAGCTCTCAGCCCTGATCCGGAGGCTGGCTTCATTGCAGGTGCCCCTCCAGGCCTGGCAGGTGAGCAGGAAGGAAGGTGGGTGGGTGGCTGAGGCTCTGAGGGACCGGCCTGGATAGGGAAGGGGACATTGGCTCAGGTGTCAGAGGTCAGACACAGGTAATTGAGAGCTAGGGACAGGCCCCGGGGTGACCACAGCCAGGACAGGGTGTGCGGCCCCCGGAGCAGGAGGAACGTGTGGAAGCCAACCTGCCAATTTCAAAGCCACTTGGAGAGGCTCACGCCTGGAATCCCAGCACTTTGGGAGGCCGAGGTGGGCAGATCAGGAAATCGAGACCATCCTGGCTAACCTGGTGAAACACCGTTTCTACTAAAAAATAAAAAATAAAAAAATTAGCTGGGTGTTGTGTGTGCGCCTGTAGTCCCACCTACTCAGGAGGCTGAGGCAGAGGCTGCAGTGAGCCAAGAACATGCCACTGCACTCCAGCCTGGGCGACAGAGAAAGACTCCATCTCAAAAAAAAAAAAAAAAAAGCCACCTAGAGTGTGTGTCTGTGAGCCCCCAGGACAGGAGTCCACCCACAAGGCAGGCGACTTTTGGGGGCAGCCACTCTTGTTCCCTTCCAGGGCTTTTTAGCCAACTTGCCTGCAGGTGCTCCCACCGTGTGTTCCCGGTGAGGAGGAGGGTTCATCCTCCCCTCCCGTCCGTCCGTCCGCCTCCATGGGGAGCGGTGCCCGACTTGGGGTGCATACGCCGGGCCCCCAGCGTGGATTTCACAGCTCACTGGCCTCTCCCTGCCCTGGGGCTGCAGATCCTGGGCTGTGAGAGGAGCCGTCCACGAAAATGAGGAAAGGCAGAAAGACTCCCACCCCTTAACAGGAAAACCAGACAGTGCAATAGTTTAAAGAGGTTTATCCTGAGCAACGTGAGGGACTCTGGCCGAGGACACAGTCTCTAGGGGTCGCGTGCGCCCCAGTCAGTCGGGTTGCAGGTGGATTTTGTAGGCACTGGGGAGGCAGGAGTTACAGGCAAAGAGGAGGAGAGCATGGGGCAGGCAGGCATCAATCCGCTCCCCCAAAGAGGCAGGAGACCTCAAACTGGGGGCTTATAAGCCACAGGTGGACTCAGACTCATTTGTCACCAGTTAAGGGAATAAAACATGGAGTCAGCAGGTGGGAATGCTTCAAATTCAGACAGGAGGCCGCTGCCTGCGGGACGGAGGGATGGCAGCATGGCCAGCAAGTCTCATAATTCGGTATCTTACTAAAGAGTCTTTTTTTTCTCTCTTATTTATTTTTGAGACAGAGCCTCACTCTGTCGCCCAGGCTGGAGTGCAGTGGCACCATCTCGGCTCACTGCAACCTCCATCCTGGGTTCAAGCAATTCTCCTGCCTCAGCCTCCCGAGTAGCTGGGACTACCTGTGTGCACCACCAGGCCTGGCTAATTTTTGTATTTTTAGTAGAGACGGGTTTTCACAACGTTGGTCAGGCTGGTCTCGAACTCCTGGCCTCATGTGACCCGCCCGTCTCGGCCTCCCAAAGTGCTGGGATTACGGGTGTGAGCCACTGCACCTGACCTTTGTGTTTTTAAAAACATTTTAAATTTGATTATGACTACCGAGACAAGATCTCACTCTGCTGCCCAGGCTGGGGTGCAGTGGTGCGGTGTCGGCTCACCGCAGCCTCCGCCTTCCAAGTTCAAGCTGCTCTCCTGCCTCAGCCTCCCAGGTAGCTGGGATCACAAGAGCACCAGCACGCCCAGTTAATATTTTTGTATCTTCAGTAGAGATGAGGTTTCACCACGCTGGCCAGGCTGCTCTCCAGCAGACCTCGAGTGATCCGCCTGCCTTGGCCTTCCAAACCGTTGGGGTTACAGGCGTGAGCCGCAGCACCTGGCCTGTAGGCACAGGGGTCTCACCGTGTTGGCCAGGCTGGTCTCAAACTCCTGAGCTCAAGTGCCCCCCCGCCCCCCAAAGTGCTGGTATTATAGGCATGGGCCGTGCACCTCGCCTGCATTTTGCCTTTCTTTTGATCATCAAATATGCTGAACGTTCTTTCTGCATTTGTGAGTCAGGGTTTTTCTTCCCATCCCTCTCGGCAGGAGGACCTTACCCTGCAGGAGGGTCCCTGAGCCTGCCCTGGGTGGGCTGCTCCTCAGGGACTGCACAGAAACCGGGGCCATCCTCGTGCGCCTCGAGGCCCCTCCCCACAGGCACCGAGGTCCCAGGTGCTTGGCTGACGTACAGTCAGGGAAAGGGTCCTCCGAGGAATGGGCTAAAAACCCTTGAAATGACCTCAAGGCCAGGCTAGACACACCGAGGCAGGGGCAGCTGTGAGGCGGGCAGCGTCCTGCACAGGCTGAGAGGGTGAGCAGTCTCGGGGTCGTGGGAGGCGGAGGCCCGGCCTGGCAGAGCCCTGGTGCCAGGAGGAGGCTGTCAGGCGGAGCCCAGGGGCACCACCCAGGGTCCAGCTGGGAAGCTGCCAGGGAGCTGTGCTGGAGGAGGCCCCCAGCCTGGGCACCGTGGGGCTTCCTTAGTGGGCACAGCCTCTGGCAACTCACTTGAATGCCCTGCCAGTGAGGAGGATTTGGGGCTGGGTGCGGCCGTTCGGAGGCCTGCTCTGCTGTGCGGGTTCCTCTCCAGGCGGAGGGGCGAGCACGGGTGGCCGTGGAGAGGACCCAACATGCAGGCCTGGGCAGAGGGGAAGGGCGCCCACGGGCTGCCAGGGCGAGTCCAGAGTGAACGCGGGAGTGACCGGCGCCCTCCCGCCCAGCTCGGCTGCCTGGCCAACTTGGCGTCACGCTGCGGCCTCCAGGACGACTTCATGCTCCACCCGCCCAGCCTGCTGCTCTTCTACAAGTGAGTGCCTGCCCCCTGCCGGGGCACAGGACTCCTGGGGACCCCAATGCCCCAGCTCACCTCAGGGGTGCTGGGAGGTCCAGCCCCGTCCCCCAACACGGCCTGACAGCCTCCCACCCACCTGCAGCCTAAGCCAGCTTCGGGCAGACGACTGCAGGGCCTTCATCCGCCGCGCCACCCAGGGGGACCTGGAGCTGCTGGACCACCTGCCTGACCAGAGGGTCGCCCTGCGGCGTGCGGCCCTGGCCTGCTTGGTGGGTGCTGGGTGGGGTGGGCTGGGATGCATGGGAGGTGGCCGTGGCCTGACTAGTGGGTGCTGGATGGGG